ATAAACCCAAATAAACCCTCAAACGGCATAAGAAACTCTAACAAATGCATACACGCCCCAATAAACCCTCAAAAAGTCTAGGAAACCCTCTAAACCCTAAACCCTAAACCCTAACCTGTCTCTGCGTCTTTCCAGCGGACGCTCCACTGGGATGAGCGGCCGGCCTCTCGGAAGGAGACCCCAGGAATGCTGCTGAAATGTTTGAGTGGGCCGACTGCTGCTCCTGCTGCTGCTGCTGCTGTTGCTGCTGCGGCAGCTTCTGCTGCTGCTTCGTTGGCCCACTGCGGAATGTTGCTGTTGCTGCTGCTGCCCTGCTGCTCTGGCAGCATAGCAACAGCAGCCGCTGCTAATGCTGCTGCTCTTTGCTCCACNTGCTGCTGCCCTGCTGCTCTGGCAGCATAGCAACAGCAGCCGCTGCTAATGCTGCTGCTCTTTGCTCCACCCACAGCGCTGCTGCTGAGGTGCAGCAAACGGCAGGGAGTTCTGCTGTTTCGTTGCTGCTGCCATCGTTCGGCTGCTGCTCCAATGCAGCCATTGCCGCTGGAATGCTGACATGCCCTGTGCTGCTGCTGCTGCTGCTGCTTACTTGTGGCTGCTGGCGCCGCATGCGCTTCGCCCCACGTCCTCTTTGGCTTCTTCCGGCGTTGCTGCGTTTCGCTGCTGCTGCTGCGGCGGCGGCAATGCCGTTGCTGCCGCTGCTACTGCTGTTGCTGCTGGTGCGTCTGCAGCGGCGCACAGCAGCAGCAAGCTCCCCTACGGCATTTGCTGCTGCTTCCGCGTGTCTTGCAGCTACGTTGGCAGATTCTGCTGCTTCTCTAGCAGACGCTGCAGCAGCTTGTGTCTGCTGCAGCAGATTCAAGGACTCCTGCTGCAGCAGCAGCCGCACGTCGGTCCCCAACAGCTGCGGACCCAGCGGCCCCACAGCAGCAGCGGCAGCTGCTGCTGCTGCTGCAGCTGCTGCTGTGTCAACGCCAGGCTGCCCAACAGCACCCCCAGCTGCTGTACCAAAAACAGAAGCGTCAATTCCTGCTGCTGCAGTGACAGGATCTGCTGCTGCTGCTGCTGCTGCCGCCGCCGCAAAGGCAGCATCTGCTGCGCTCGTTGCTGCTGCGATGTCCCCGTCTCCTCCTGGAAAGTCAATAGGATGCATCGCTGCTGCTGCTGCAGCAGGAGCTTCGGTTGTTGTTGCTGTTGCTGCTTCAGCGTCTGCTGTTGTCGCTGCAGCATCAGTGCAGCCGCCTTCTGCTGCTGCTGCTGCCAGCGTCTCCGTAGCAGCAACAGCAGCAGCCGTTGTGTCTGTGTCTCCCTGCACGCTGCTGCTGCTTGTGCTGCTTGCGCTGCTCGTGCTGCTGCTGCTGCTGCTGCTGTCGGCAGCACCAGCAACAGCCTCAGCTTCTGATGAAGGCTGTGCTGAGAGGTTCCCCTCAGCAGCAAGTGCATCAGCAGAAGCAGCTGCTGCTGCTTCAGGGGTGCTGGGAGGCCCTGCCCCAGCAGTAGCTTCGATCGTCATGGTCCTCGCGCTGCTGCTGTTGCTGCTGCTGCTGCTGTCTGCAGCCGCACAGGAGCAGCAGGAAGTTGGCGTGCAGCTCGCAGTTGTGGTTTGGTCTCCGTCTGGAGGGGGTGGTGCTGCTTCAGCAGAACGCGGGAGCCACGGTGGCGAAACCGCAGCAGCAAGAGCAGCAGCAGGTGCTGCTGCTGCTGCTGCCGCTGCTGCTGCTGCTGCCGTTTCTTCGTCTGCTGTCTCCTTTCCTACCGACACCAAGTGCTGCGGCTGCTGCAGCAAGAGCTGCTGCTGCAGCAGCGTGTCCACCTGGGACATCTCTTCAATTCTGCTACAGCTGCTGCTGCTGCTGTTCTNGCTGTTACCCCAGCACATGCAAATGTTAATACAGCTCAGCGTGTGTGTCTGTTACTGCTGTGGGACCCTTCACAGTAGATCATCTCTATGCAGCAGCAGCTGCTGCCTCGTTGCTGCTGCTGCTGCTGCTGCCCAGGAAACGTGCCCCCCAACTATATTTGCGACAGGCCATTAATGGGTACTTTTAAGCAAATGCCCCAAAGCAGCAGAGAAGCCTACTGCTGCTGAAGTCTGAGGCACGTCCCCCAACTGCTGCTACTGCTGCTGCTGCCGCCGCCGCCGCTGCTGCTGCTGCTGGGGTGTCGTTCGCGTCGGCCTGCAGTTGTTGCTGCAGCAGCGTGGGGAAGCGGGAACCTAGTGGAGCAGAACGCCTGCGCAACAGCACGAAGTGGGTTTGCTGTTGCTGCTGCTGCGGTTGCTGCTGCTGGAGGCCGTAACGACCTGGCGTTGCTGCTGCACTGCAGCAGCTCCTTCTGGGCTCTTCTGTCTGTTGCGGAGTATAAAATAAATTCGACTAACGAACTTCTGCATAAAAATGCCACAAAAAGAGGGAAAAGAAGAAGAAAAAGAGTGCAGCGGCTCCTCCTAATTGGCCGCTGCTCCCACGCAAATGAGGAGTCGTCTGGGGCCCCCACGGTACGTCCAGCTGAGGGTTCTTCAGCGGTGGGTTTTTNCACGCAAATGAGGAGTCGTCTGGGGCCCCCACGGTACGTCCAGCTGAGGGTTCTTCAGCGGTGGGTTTTTGCGGTTTAAATATTTGTTCTTTATATTTTATCTTATTTGATTGTCTGTTTATTATTACAAAGGAAAAACAACTCCAATGCAAAGGCTTCCCCCCGGTGCCTCAGCTCCACGCGGCGTGGGGCCACCCTTGTGAGAGTAGAGAGGGACTTGGGGTGAGCATACACTGCACGCTGACGCATCTCCACCTTTGGCTCATTAAACACCAATCAAAATATATAACTAGAAGAGCCTTTGGGCTCTTTTAGGGCATCCCCAGGTTTTTTTAAGTAACCTGTAATTTCACTGTAGTGTACTGTGCGGCTGTCTGGAGCTGAGAGGATGATACATGATGAACTCTCAGGTACTGACTATAAATAAAACGTAGAATCCCATAAAACTCTACTTAAAACTCCTCGCTTCCACTCTCAAGGTGTCCTGGTGGTGGGATCGGGGACTTTCGTGAGCTGCAATGTATTAAAATACATAAAACGTAATGGGTATAATATTAATTTTGAGGTTCCGAAAAACCAGCTGACAAACCCTCCAGTTCCCAGGCACCCTGCGCCCGGCGATCAAATTGTTTGGGGCTGGCAGTGCAACAAGAGTCATCCATTTCAGGGCCCGCATAACGCTTGCTCTCTGGCCTTGATCAATGAGAGACGCGAGCTGCAATCTGCGTAAAAAATTAAAGTAATAGTTTTCCAAAAGTCAGCTGACCTCCTTCCCCTGTCCTCAAGCATCCTGAGGTCAGGCCTGTGTGTTGTGGGGAAGAGGCGGCCTCGAGGGGGTTTGAAGCGGACTTCGCTCCGGCTGGTGATACAAGCCAGCCTCACGCGTGCACACAAGCAAGCTTCGTTGGAGCTTCCTTTATAGCATGTTTTACCTTTGAATTGTATTCGCTTACACGCAACCTACCGAGGCCAAGTGAAGGCTCCTGCGCTAATTTCTGTCAGACCAAGCTACACCATGCATGTACCTGCCGAGCCCCCGTTTACTGCTTTCCCTAATACTATGGGCAATTATTGAACACTTGCTTTGCTCTCTGTCGCCATCCTGCACCAAGTAAAAATACACCCACCATCTTCGCACAGACCATGCTGCAATAAATGTTCCTCCCTTTCCGTCGCCAACCCCCGCTCGTGGGCCCCTTCGACACGGAAGAAAACGAAGAGGAAAAAAGGCAAGCAGCTTCCAC